TAGAGTGAAGAGTGTTGTAGTGGACAAGGTCTAGAGGAAGAGTCATGTAGTATCTAAGTCTAGAGGGAAAGCAATGCATTGTCTAGGCCTGGAGGGAACAGTCATGTAATGTGTCAAGGTCTAGCATCCATGCATTGTCTAGGGCTAGAAGGAACAGCCATGTAGTGTGTCTAAGTCTAGAGCGAAGAGCCATTTCGTGCCTAGGTTAAGAGGAAAGGGCGATATCATGTCTAGATGTAGAGGGAAGATCAGGTAATCTGATATCCAGGAATGTTAGTGGTAATTGTGCTGCTGCGCCCAGACAGAACAATTGAGACTAATGTACTGTGAACTCCAGGCTGTCCTTGCAGTTCCCCCTCTAGTGGTCATACAAAGCACTGCATTCATGTTAACTACTCCCCGTCCAGCTTTTTTAGTAGGGACACAGCTGATCTTCCTATGTGGATTTTCATGCGTCTATTATTATTATTATTATTATTATTATTATTATACAGTATTTATAAAGCGCCAATGGTTCACTCAGCGCTGTACATTACAAAGGGGGACAGAACATGTGACAGAACAATAACAATACAATTGCAAAACATGAGGGGATCGAGGGCCCTGCTCTTTCGAGCTTACAATCTAGGATACATTGTAATACATCTAAAACTGACACATGTGTGATTGCAGTTAATATGAATTTATGGAAACACATTATTTTTATATAAATATATATATTTATTTATTTATTTTTACAAATGTTAAATTACATTCAGGGAACCATTCTGCATTTCTAACTTCCAGTATAACAGACTAAATAGGAAATAAACTGAGCACTAGAATATGGATGTTTTCTACAACAGCATGAATGTTGTATCTTAAGTTTTCACTTATATGGTAAGGATACCATTGGTTTTAAAGCTGAGCCACAGAGAGAAATAAAAAAAGCACCATTTCATGTAATTATATCAAATAAATAAATGATATATATATATATATATATATATATATATAATAAGCTCCAAGGAGCAGGGCCCGCCTAACCCTCTTGTATTGAACTGTATTGTTGCTGTATTGTCTCCCTTTATATTGTAAAGTGCTGAGCAAACTGTTGGTGCTATATAAATCCTGTATAATAGTAATAATAATAATAATATTATTATATAGGATTTATATTGCGCCAACAGTTTACACAGCGCTACATAGAGTGCACTGTATTTTACATACAGCTGGCATAAGAACCTTGTCTTTTCTTTTTTTTCTTTATATCAATTTCCTGTTCATCAGCCGGGAGGGGGGGGCAGTTTGTAGCTTTAGGAGCCAATCAGGCACAATTACCAAATACTGCACATGTGCAAACAAGAAACATGCTGACAGGATAATATAGCAGAGCATCAGAGTCAGAAACTCGGGCACTGCCCTAGGGCCCGGGGTCAGTAGGGGGCCCCATGAGATGCCCTTGGTACCTTTTTCATAGGCTTTTTTGAGTTTGGGCAAGGACACAGGGGCCCCATGACCCCCTATTGCCCGGGGGCCCCATGAGTTGTCAGTCCGCCCCTGATTAGAGTTGACTTTGGCTTATCAGTGTTCGGCTGCTCCTTAACCCCCGGTTCCCATCTGTGCGGGTGGTGCCGCTGCGGATCTGCACGAAAATCCGTGCAGCCGCACTTCCCGCACAGAGAATTGCGGACCCGCAGACGGGTGCCATTAGTTCTAATGGCACTCCTCCCGCACTGGGAAACGCAGCTGTACTGGGAACCGAGGTTCCTGTCTGGGCTGCGTTTTCCAAAGAAGTGCAGGGACTTCTTCCCTGCGTGTCACGGGCACGTGAGTCCATTCACTCCCGGTTCACATCTGTGCGGGTGGTGCCGCTTCGGATCCACACGAAAATCCATGCAGCCGCACCACCCGCACAGAGAATTGCGGACCCGCAGACGGTTGCCATTAGTTCTAATGGCACGCCGCCCACACTGGGAAACGCAACCGTACTGGGAACTGAGGTTCCCGTGCGGGCTGTGTTTTCCGAGGAAGTGCAGGGACTTCTTCCCTGCGTGTCACGGGCATAGAAGTCCATTCCAAATGCCGTGCAATTTGCGGCCCGCATGACCGTACATATGTGAACCTAGGGTTAAATATATGGGCTCTCGTGCCCGTGCAAAACGCGGCCCGCACAGCCGCATAGGTGTGAACCTAGGGTTACTGTCCAGTCAGCAGGCTGTGGGGCATGAAGGTGACACCAGTGCATTCTTTAACTCTGACAAGTTATCCTTCTGTCTGTACTGTCTGTCAGGGGTGTCTGGATTACAAGGCTGGCTGAACAGACTTACAAAAATGTTTTGCCAGACGCGGTCTCATGTTCCAGAAGCAGAGGTTCCCCGGTGCCAGGGAATGCTCAACTCCCAGAGCCGTGATGTCACCCACCAGCTTTCTTCCCTCCCCTGCAGCAGCTGTTCAATGACACAGGGGAGCCACTGCTTCTGAATCACGTGCCTGCACTGATTTAAAAAAAGCGTTTACACTGCTCTCTTTTATAAATGGTATGCAGCATATCTAGGAGGGGAAGGCAATGCTTTTAACAAGACTAACATGTCGCCTATACTTCTACTTTCTGTCCTTGAGAGAATGGTAAGCAACCAAAATGGAGACAGGGTGGATCTCTCCCATGGGGACACGCCAATAAAATCTAGCAGGGGTTTAAACTTTTTCCTACTCTGTACAAAAAAAAAAATTCTGGCTACACAGTAGATGCACTTTAACCCCTACATGGCTCATTCTCAGAAATGCTCAAACTTGCCCCATTGTTTGGTTTTATCAGGCCAATGCATGGCTAGATCTTCTCGTTGTGTGAGATCAGGATGTCCAGCATCATCCAGCTCTGAATGTCATTGTGCCGATTTCATTGCTTTGTCTTGTGTAACACCTTGAGGGTTCTCTCTGTCATCCTCCTCCTCCTCCTCTCATGTATGCCTGCAGCTGATTTCATGACTGCTCCGGAGCCTGGGGGGGGAATGCATTAATGTTGTCATTATTAATTATTTACAGTGTATCTTCATATTTGCAGCACTTTGCAGTTTAGAAGTAATAATTGCAGAGTTATCTCTCTGAAAGCCTGATACAGATGGATCCTGCCCCTGCTGGGTACTTGTGCCGTCTACAGGGAGTCTATGAGACAAAAAGGCATCCAGAATAATTGGAGGCTGCTGGCTTCATATGCTATCTGCTGGCTGTTGAAAGCTAAAGATTCAGAATTGCTTTATGACATTCTGTCTATTAAATCCAATCGCAGTCACAGGGCCCATTCTGTCTTATGCTTAGTTAAAATGTGTCAAAAAGCCCCTTTTCTTTCCAGTTTAATTCAGCCAAATAGGTGCAAAAAAAACAAAAAAAAATGTGCATTTTCTTTAGAAAGTAGCCACAGCCTGAGTAGAAAGGCCTGTGCACAGCCAGCATGCTTTGGAGGGCCTTTGCTCTCTGTGTGGAAGCAGTGATCTCTATGCAGAGATGCCCCCTGATGAGTCAGAGCTGGAGCTCTCCAATCAGCAGAGAACATAAACTTTACTGATTGCAAAACTATCGGGCTTGGATCAGTAGGTGGTGTTTTGGACCTCTGCAAAGAGACGAATGCTTCCACACTGAGAACAAGGGTCTTTTCTCTGCAACATGCTCGCAGGGCACAGGCTTTTATACTTAGGATGTGGCTGCTTTTTAAATAAAATGAATTGTAAGATTTTACATGCATTTTGTACACAGCAGATGCTCAGGAACAGGGCTGCTGTTAGGAACCATACAGCCAGACTGACAGGGCCCCCCTCAAAAAAACAAATCTAAAAAAAACCCCCAGTTTATTATGCTTCAGGTATGAATGAACACAGTGAGTGATTGACACTGATCACTCATTGTGCTCATTGAGGAAACAAAGGGGCTGGTACATGTGACATATTTACAGGCCCTTCCCCCACTCTCCATTCTGAAGCCGGCAGCACTGCGGGGGTGGGGGCACACAGGGGGGCCTGGGCAGCAGGGGGGAAATGTATAATGCACAGGGAGGGTGATGGGTGCACCAGGGGGGGCAATTACTTGAACTGATCCCCTGTATGGCTCCCGCTGCAGCAGATGAAAGCCAGCGGGAGGGAGAGGAGAAGAAGCCAGCTTTCAGTTGCTGCAGAGAGAGCCATACAGGGGACTGGATCTAGTAATTTCCCCCCCACCCTTCCTGCACACATCTGATTCAGCCAGCTGGCAGGTCCCCCCCTGCTGGCCTGGGCCCCATACAGGAGGACTGGTGGTACCCCCTTATCCACGGCCCTGCTCAGGACTTCTGCTTTGCCTGGTTTCCAAACATGTTTGGGCCATTGACACAGAAAGTAAGCCATAGGGTCAGCATAGCAGCCAGGCGGTTAGCACTTTCAGGAGAAGGTCAGCAATTAAAGCCCCTATATTTCTCCCATGACAGGTTGTCTTTAAAGTGGTTGTAAACCCTTACATATACCCAGTGAAGTGACTGTCCTTAGGTGATAAACAGAGATGACACAAATCCTCCTACATAAGTTCAACTTGGCTAGCTGCAGTCTTCTCTTCTCACCATCCATTTAAATTGCTGAATTTATAAAGCTTGTCTCAGAGTTCAGAAAACAGGAGGCAGAGAACTGAAGTTGTACTCTGCAGAGCTCAGTGAGGAGAGCTCTGAGAGCTGATTAGAGAGAAGAGACAAGCTCCTCCCCCCTCCACACAGCTCACAGGAACAGAGCTGCGGCTGTCAATTTGCTGGAGGTCCCTCCCCTGTCACCATTTTTCTCTTGGTGTCAGGAAAACTTGTCAGAAGTGATTAATGCTGATAGCAATGGAGAAACAAAGCAGACAGAAATGACACTTAGTGCTCTTAATAGAAATAACTACACACTATAGAGGGATATGCTTTGTTCATATTTCTTGTCTGAGGTATAGGAGAACAATTTTAAGTTGCTTAGTCAACTTGATTGGCTATTTCTGTGACCTGAACAATGTTTGCCTTGTGCTAGGTAACGCCAGCTGGGTGGAGCTGCTTCCTGTGGCTGCTGTCAGCGTTCACCTCTTCACCGGGAACGGTTCCGAAGTCAATCTGGTTGGTCCTGCTCAGCTGTCTCTCCCCCTTCCCTCTGACAGCGGGATCACACCCGCCAGCAGCATACCCGCTTGGAAGTTTGACCCCAAGAACGGTACGTCGGCACTCATATTATGGATACTGGACAGCCGTGTGACTAATGCATACTGTTTTAAATCTGATATTATTTGCTCTGTTGTGCCCTCTACACCCATTTCTTCTTCTCCCCCACCCCACCCTGACATGGGTTCCCCTTGTTGTTTCTTCCTCTTAGGTTTGTGGACCCGTTCCGGCATGGGTGTGGTGCGAAGAGATGGGCAGCAGTTATACTGGTCATTTTCATCCCAGAAACTGGGATACTGGGCAGCCGCCATCCCCTCCAGCGGTCGAGGTGAGGCTCCTTTCTTTGATGAGTTCTGGTTTCTTTACTCTTTCTTTTTTGCCAGGTCTGACTTTTCCATTTGGAAATGTTAATTGCCTGGTTTTCATGATAATCCCTTAATTGCATACATGCACTACCAATACATTTTATTGTGCAACATCATTTCTTACAGCAATACTTAGTTAAATTAATTTAGATTAGTTAATCTAAATTAGTACACAAAAATCTAATATGTAAATAAAGAACCCTAACACACCATAAACCCTTATAATAAACCCAAATATTCCAAACATTATATCCAATCCCAAAACGTGGAGGGGCTCAGCAAGGATTCGATAAGTTGGATTGTGGACACTAAATTTTGTTGAGTGAAAGTGACTTTACTTCCACGATTTTTTGATTTAAGTGACCTATATATACTTTTTGGGATTGGATATAATGTTTGGAATTTTTTACACTTTGAAATATTTGGGTTTATTATAAGGGTTTATGGTGTGTAGAATTATTTATTTACATATTAGATTTTTGTGTGTTGATTTGCACTTTCAAGGGTGAAAGTTTTTTCTATTATGTGAAAGGATATTAAGGTTAGTTTAGTGTTAGTTGATACCGTACTTATAGTCTTATTAATCTAAATTAGTGCCTTTATACAAATGCAGATCTGGAGTTATGACTTTATTGGCTTTTGATTGTTTTTATGAAATTGTTAGCTCATTGTTGCCGTATTGTATTCAGACATGGGGTATCTGCCTTACATTCTGTTTTTCCCTTAGGTATGCTGTCACTTATGAGTGGTGTGGACATAGCTGGCTACCATACTATCTTCCTGCTCTCTATTCTGGGTGCTCTTACACTGCTGGTCCTCATCCTGCTCTGCCTCCTAATCTATTACTGCAGGTAAAGGTCTCCCCTGCCTAATGCTTTGCCATTCCCAACACTGCATCAAATTCTGCCCTTCTTTGTCCATTCAATAAGAGCTCTATCTAAAGTTGGCAGAGACAGTAGGGGAAGCCTTGCTTACCACACTGACTCTCCTACTGCACTGCCTCTTTAAATACACCTGTCAAAGTAATGACTATGCCAATGTGAATAAGAAGCAAGCGGTGTGAGATGCCTGCACACACCTTGTAATATCTTCAGGAGAAGCCCGGTAACCCCCAAACATGGGGCTGATTAATTCTGACACTTTTTGCTCAAGCCCAAGGTGACTTACATCTCCTGCAACATCTATTTCCCAGCAAAGACGCCTGTCGGGGCAAATAAAAAGCAAGAGATATGTCACCAGCATCCCAGGCAACTCCATAGGCGTGTCCAATGCTTTATTGTATGATCACAGCAAAAGGAAGCAACATTTCAGAGTCACACAGGACCCTTCATCACATGCCCGATGAAGGGGTCCTGCTTGGCTCAGAAATGTCACTATCGCATCAGTCGATCCTGAATACGGCAGCCAGACTCATCCATCTTACCATCTTACCAACCGCTCCGTTTCCGCCACCCCCCTCCCCCCAATCCCTCCACTGGCTTCCGATTGCCCAATGGATCAAATACAAACTGCTAACACTGACGTACAAAGCTGTCCATCATACTGCCCCAAACTACATCACTGACCTAATATCCAAGTACCACCCAACACTCACTCTCCGCTCCTCACAAGACCTCCTTCTCTCTAGTTCCCTGGTCTCCTCCTCCCATGCCCGCCTCCAGGACTTTTCCAGGGAGTCCCCCATCCTCTGGAACTCCCTACCCCAATCCATCAGACTATCACCTACTCTCCTCTCCTTTAGGCGCACCCTGAAAACCCACCTCTTCAAGGAAACCTACCCCACCCCCTGCTAATTGCTCCTCACAAGACGCCTTCTCTCTAGTTCCCTGGTCTCCTCTTCCCATGCCCGCCTCCAGGACTTCTCCAGGGCGTCACCCATCCTCTGGAACTCCCTACCCCAATCCATCAGACTATCACCTACTCTCCTCTCCTTTAGGCGCACCCTGAAAACCCACCTCTTCAAGGAAGCCTACCCCACCCCCTGCTAATTGCCGACCTCCTCCACTCTTCCTACCACTCCATCCCCCACAGCCATTTCCTCTTGTACCAATATCCCCTCCCTCCTAGATTGTAAGTTCAAAAGAGCAGGGCCCTCGAACCCCTCGTGTATCACATTGTATTGTTTTGTACTGTTGCATGTACTGTCTCCCATTATAATGTACAGCGCTGAGCGAACTGTTGGTGCTTTATAAATACTGTATAATAATAATAATAATCTTCTGCTGTGGTGTGATCATACAATAAAGCATTGGACCATCTTATAGAGCTCCCTGGTGTGCTGGTGACATATTCCTTGCTTTGAAGACTTTCAGGTCTCCATCCAGTGGTCGCTACATCAGCTACTCTTCAGCCATATTCAGAAACTTGTGCAATGGGAATATTGCTCTGAGCAAATAGAAAGGTGTTGAAAGGTAGGAGGGTGTGGGCTATCTATAAACTTGACCAAAAAGTGTTACAAATAGGGCACTTGTGTGCCTAGGGTTTCTGGAAACTCCTGCAGAGATAAAGGTATGTGGAGGCACCTTCGAGTGCCTGTTTCTTTTTTTTTTTTGTTCATGTTGACACTTTAGCATGTTTAGAACGCTGACAAAATGTATTTTTACATTCCTTTGATGGGATTTTTTCCAGCTGTGTTCAATGAAGGGTCTTACAAAGATTCCTGTTGATGTATTTGTAAACATTTGCACACAACCATACAATATATTGAGGCAGAAGCCCTCACAAAAACAGAAATGGTCACAAAAGCATAATACATTTTTAAACATGTATTATTGGCTCATTTTTAGGGTTTTAAGCGGCAAGAGCTTTTTACTATATGCTTAATTTGATTCAGCTAGATATGTATCTCAAACAGGACAAAGAACTAGTCATGAGTACTGCTGACTATTTCCCCGTTTACCGACTTACCATGCCTGGTTCTGCAGGATGTCTCTTTGTGGAGACAACCGTCTTGGTGGAGGATCAGGGCTTTGTTTACTTAGGTCAAAGCTGTCCTCCTGATGATTAGTGATCTGAGGGCTGGAGGGGGAATGATCAAGCAGCAGCAGAAAAAGGTGCAGAAAGCACATATCCACAGAATGACTAAAACAGAAGCATGGAGATTCTTGCATTACAGTTCCTCAGGTACAGCTTCCTCTCCAGCAAGGAGAACAGTGAGCAGCATAGTAGTGACATCTCCAAGTATCACTTTGAATTGGGTGAGACTAACAGTCAGAGGAAGCAGTGACTTTGATCTCATCCTGCTGATATACAGCTATGAGGCTCATTGCACATGACATTCATTGCTATATTCCAGGGAGAATTAAAGTGTATGCATAGTCAAAACGTTTTGTGTCATGAAGTCAAAGATGTCTTGCCGCCAATTCATCATCCAAAAAAGCAAATAAATTTATCGATGCAGATAGAGTACAGATATGGAGTGGCTTCCATGTTTCAGCTACAAAAGCCTTAGTTATTGCTATGACTAAGGCTTTGTAGTGGAATCGCGTAAAGCTACTCCATATCAGTACACTATTCATTTGCTTCTTGGATGACAGGTTGCTGGCTATACTTCTTTGACTTCATGCTGTACCAGGGTGATAAGTAGACACCATCAGCTAGAGCACCTTCACTCACCTTCTCAGGGAATCTGGATTGGCGTTGTTTTTCCTTTTTTTTTGTTTCTTATGGGTGAAGTAGATAAGGGTTAATAGCCCTTTCAAATTATACTGCTATCCAGGGCCCTATTGGACGGATCCTCTCTCACTCCCTGTGCTGGGGCCAGTGTTTCACCAGATAGGAAAAGAGTAAGAATCTCAAAAAACAGGGAAACGAACAAGAAAAAGCTGACAGAGGTTCTACAATTCCCTTACCTAAGCAAGTGCTAAAATCAGAAGACAAATGTGTAGGCTTATGTGTTTATTCCCGGCTCTAAATTGGTGCTGACTCTTTAAAACCCAACTCTGGGAAACCTGAGAATTCTCCTTTGCACTGGGGCTGTGCCCGCACTGCAAGGATTAACTGACTCTTTAGGTCTAAGGGGCATAAAAAAATAAGATTTACCTACCCGATTCTCCACCCTGCTAGACCAGTTCCTTGCAGCATCTTCTCCACCTTGCTCCAGTGGTCGAAGGTCCTGACCTCATCAAGACCAATGGAGAGTCTATAGCCCTGCATTAAAAGTGATGATATTGAGGGATAGTCTGCTGCTGGAGCATAGGAGTGCACAGTCTGCTGGGGGATCAGAGGATCAGGTAAGCAAAAGCACTTTTACTCTCCCCTATAATAAATGAGCAGTTAACCCTTGCAGTGTGGATGCAGTCTACGCTCGTGCAAGGGCCATGGTTACCTGCATGGGGATGCACAGGTGTTCATGTCAATTTGACATGAATGAGACTGCCTGCATGAGTAAACACGGCCCTTGTATGGATGTATGCTATAGTACGCTCCATGTGAACAAGGCCATAGCAGAAAAATTATCAGTGGGATGCTTGAAAAGTTGCACTATCAAATAATTCCATGGGTTCAGATCAGGGGCGGACTGACAACTCATGGGGCCCCCGGGCAATAGGGGATCATGGGGCCCCTGTGTCCTTGCCCAAACTCAAAAAAGCCTATGAAAACGGTAGCAGGGGCATCTCATGGGGCCCCCTACTGACCCTGGGCCCTTGGACAGTGCCCGAGTTTCCAAATGGTCAGTCTGCCCCTGGTTCAGATGCTTTACATAGTTACATAGCAAATTCTAGGAATTGAAAATAGATGAGGGAGATAGTTCAACTCTCCACAAAAAAAACTGTCATAATGTCCCTTTCAGATGACCGTTCTGGATGTCTTGTCTTTTAATATGTATTTAGAAGGAATGCAATGTATCTCTACGGGGCGGTAGATGTAAACAGATGTGCGTTCGTTCGCATCCACCCACGTCCACAAACAGAAAAGATTTGCATCCTTTTTCTTTTTTTTTCCCGGACCTTGAACTGGACAGATCGGATGAGCACTCATGTGAACAGATGCATGTCCGCCCAATAATAGAAATTGCATGGGTCCGTTTTTCCTCCATCATGTGATGGAATAAAAACAGAACGGATTAAAAACTTACATCATCCCCCTTCTGATCCAGCATAACTATTGATCTGTTGACACGGAATGGAGGATGGCCATGTGAAAGGGACCTAACTCTCTGTCCTTGTAACTGTAACAATCAAACAGGCGCTCAGTCCAGCAAGGGACAACAGATACATAGAATTGGCTGTCATTTGAGTTTAGGGCTATCCACGATGGACAGCTGTTGTGGCACGTTATCTTTGAAGCATTTAGCTGGCTGGAGAAATGTAGCAATCCTGTAGATATTCAATTCAGCAAAAAAAAAAACAAAAAGGAAAAAAAAAAAAAGAAGAGCAGTTTCAGATTCTCAGCTTCTGTGTTAGTTTATTTAGGGCCATGTATTACATTTTTATAGCAGTGTCTTCCATATACAAGTGCTATTGCACCTATTAACCCTTGTCTGTTGTTACCAGAGCCGGGACAAAGGATGGGCAGGAAGGACAGTTGCCCCGGGCGCAGACTAGCAAGGGAGCGAAAAACAGACGCAAGGTGGTACACTCATTTTAGGGCATGTTCTGTATTAACAGTGGGGGAGGGAGGTGCAATTCTGGATCACTGCTCTGGTTGATGGACGACCCTGTCCCAGTATTGGTTATTACTACTTGATACTATGTGGTTCATAAAGATCAGTCTCTTCAGGTAGCTTGTTCATTGATCATAAGGAGTGATCTGATTCAGATCTTCAAAACCCCAGGTATCTGCCATCCGTTAGCTGCTAACTGAAGGCAGACTATAATTATTACTGTGGACACTCAGCCACAGTTTTAAAGCAGAGTTCTACCTAAAAAACAATTAAATAAATAAAAGCAGCTACAAAAACTGTAGCTGTTGACTTTTAATATACAGACACTTACCTGTCCCTCAGTCAAGCGGTGTCCTCACCACCGCTGGTTTCACTGGCCGTCTTCTCTCCCTGGCACCGGCATCTTTAGTTTGGGCACCTGGCTGTGGCAACTTGCGGCTTCACAGCCGAGTGCCCACTGCGCATGCGTGAGAAGCGCTGCGCTTTGTGAATTGCCCTGTAGTCTTCTGGGATCTGTCACATGTCCCAGAAGACTATGGGGAGGGAGGGGAGGACAACTTCCGCTTCTGATTGCAGCAGAAGTGGGAGCGGGTACCTATCAAATTCGGGTACCCACTCCCCAAAGGTGCCAATCCTTAATGGGGAGCGGGGGACAGAGGCTTAAAGCGGAACTTCCCCTTTTGGGTGGAGCTCCGCTTTAAGAAGCCATGTTAACTACTGCTAATATTCGCAAAGTCTGATCTGCTAGAGAAGTTGCTGAAGGCTGTAAGTGAAATACCTTTAGCACAGGCTTACCACCTCCCTGGGATCTGATCCATAATATTTGAGCAAATGTGTCCACAGTCCCTTCAGCACTGGTACACCTAATCACAATCCTGCCTATCCCATAGAGAAGCCAATTCAGCAGTTTCTGGTTGTGATACAAGCCACATAATTCTGGTATATTGGTCCTGCATGGAGGTGGGACATTGGGTGCAAAGGTGCTACCAGGTCTTGTCCACGTTTGGCATGGCCTAATTGAAGTCCAGCCTTTTCTAAAAGAAAATTTTCCTAGGTAATCACTGGCCAATTTGCTGACTGCTTAGGCTGCATTTGGATGACTGAATAGCAGCGGATAGTTGTCTATGTTCAGAGGCAGCGTGACACCACCTCTGGACGCAGCAACACTCTGTGCTATGGCCATATAGAACCTGGCCTATTAGCTGCACCCAGTTTGTGTGTGGCCAAAACTTTGCTGAAATTCTGACCCTGAATGCACACAGGCTACATCCAAGGTTAGTTGGAGTCTCTTTGCAAACAGTAGTGGCACTGGCCATAGGTTTGTACAGTAAAATCTGACAACCATCGCTGGCGGCTGCAGCTATGTGTACACAGGTTTTGCTGGCAGCGTTTGCAACCACCAACAGGAATCTACTGATTTTTGCTGGTGACCACCGATGGCCACTTCTGTTTGACCATCTGAATGTAGCCTTAAAGGAGCATGCACAAGCATATATTATGTCAGCAGTTTAATTAATTCCAAACATGATGTGAAACAAATAGGTGCATGCTATCTAATATATAGGTCCAAACTGTCTCACCGGACATAGCAGCCCCCTGTGAGTGAGGGGGAATATCTCTAATGGAGCCCTGGACATCAGTAAAACGTGATGGGAGTTCTAATCCTTCACTGCAGTATTCAAAACTACAGATGTTTGGTTACAGATGCACTTCATAGGCAAAAATAATATATTTTTTAGGGTGTTGCTTAGACACAGTTAACATTTCTAGATTTATAATGGCAAATCTTCACTTTTTTTTAGTTCATGTCCACTGTAGGCATGGAAGGAAACTGCCAAACATAAAGCAAGCAATGAATATATTTATTTAGCTCTGTTTACTCCCATTCCTCTCCCAGTACTTAAGTTTTATGAATCAAACTCATCATGGTCCTGCTAATAACTAATTGCTGTTTTGTTCCTTAGCTCACTACTTGTTGTTTGTTTGCAGGAGACGATGTCTGAAGCCAAGACAACAGCATCACAAACTGCAGCTTTCGGGGCTCTCTGAGCCAAAGCGAGACCAGGCTACCTCGACCTCCCACCTTAACCTCATCAGCACCAGCCACCTGGACTCTACATCCACAGCTGACAGTGATCTTCGAACTCCAGTTCTACGCTCTGCTTATTCCTCCCGTGAAGACTTTTGTAAATCTGGCGGGCGTTCCTCCATCCAGCATTCCACAGATACTCTTCCTCTAAGGCCAGGACCTCGAGAAGATTACCCACTAAAGTCAGCTCGCTCTGGTGACCTGCTGGAGTCAGAAGACCTGAAAAGGAACTATGGAGGTGGAGGAAAGGGGCAACAAAGAAGGAGAGGGGGTAGAGGAGGAGTTAGAGATCCACCTCCATCACCTCCTCCACTTCCACCCCCCTTCAAACATGTGATCGGTGACTCTAAACCTCCAGATTATTTGATGACCCAATCAGCAGATCCACTGTCACGCCCCACCTCTTTGACTCAACCTGGACAGCTGATATTTTGTGGATCCATTGACCACATGAAGGAAGGAGGGTACAGACATGCCATGCCCACTTTGGTGATTCCAGCTCATTATGTCAGGTTGTCATCAGAAGACAATCCAGCGGGGCTAAGTGAAGATCAATCTGAGAGTGAATCTTTGTCATCACAAGCTTCGCATGCCCACCATTTTGCCCCTCAAGATCATGTTCAACGTCAACAGCTGCTTCAGCAAGGTCACGGCTACCCACAAGGATTATCCACTGGCTCAGGACAAGATCAGGAGGGAAAAGGCTGGGGCAACCACTCTTCTCAGATGAGTGGATCAGTCACCATCCCTGTGGTTTTTAATGAATCCACCATGGCTCAACTGAATGGAGAACTCCAAGCACTCACCGAGAAGAAGCTTTTGGAACTTGGCGTGAAGCCCCACCCAAGAGCCTGGTTTGTGTCTTTAGATGGACGTTCCAATGCCCAAGTGCGTCACTCTTACATAGACCTGCAGGCTGGTGACAAGACACGCAGTAATGATGCTAGTCTGGACTCAGGTGTGGATGTTAATGAGATTAAAATAAAACCTGGACCAGAGGAAGGGAGAGGTGGGAGGTCTCAACATCAACCTTCTTCTTTGACCTACTCTAAGCTGGTCTTTGCTGAAGAAGGGGAACAGAGCCTAAGTGAGAGTCGGACTGGCGGGGGCTGCTCGCCCGAAGACAGCTCACTCACCCCACTTCTAGATGAGGGTTCCGAGACATGCCCAGTTATGAACAGGAGAGGGCGCAGCCGGGGGGACAGTTCCCGCAGCAGCACTAGCGAACTTCGAAGGGATTCAATGACCAGCCCTGATGAGGATCTTAATGACCAATCTGAAGGTGGGGATGACCAAGATAAGAAGAGCCCCTGGCAAAAGAGAGAAGAGAGACCCCTGATGGTGTTTAATGTAAAATAATGAGGGATTTCTCAATTCTCGTTCTGTGTATAGGACATACCCCTCAAAGGACTGCAGGGAGAAAACGCAGGGATGGCCCCTGAATCCGAAGGCCGGGCCGGAGAATGAAAAAGACCCTGCCCCCATCTCTCCCCTAACCTCGAGGCACGGCCCCAGCATTGGAGAGTTCCTGTGTGGAAGACCAGAGGCACCGCGATCTATATACATCCAGAAACATACCCACATGTCTACACACACACAGTCAACACAATTACTAACACGCACCCATGTATATAATACACACTTGCAATATTCCTTACAAACATACACAGGTGCTTTATGGTCCTCTGGTAACTGGGAGTCTATGACACTTCATGGTGAGACCCTCAGTATGACCAGCCCCCTCTTTACAGAGGTACAGCAGATCATTGATAACAATGGACTTTTAACCTTGACGTTGTCTTCTATTTCCCTTTAAATAGTAATACAAGGACAAGAGAAGCAGGCCAAGCTCGCTGGAACATGGAGAATCTTTTGGTTTCATCATCATGTCCTCTGTGGAGGTTCTGATGTAGCAGGGCATCTTAATGGCCCATGGCATCTCCCAGTAACTCATGCTTTGTGGTCCTAGTGTTTTGTTTGTGTAAGGTGTGTGGAAGATCATAGCTTGCAATGCATTCTGGTCCATAGTCCTCATTTAAAGGAGCCATGTAACTACAGTTTTACTGGCTGCACTACATTGTGGTACCATCTACCCCCTAATCATGGAAACCGCATCTACTTATCACAATGCATTAATGTACCCCTTGCAATGCATTGTAACCATTGTGTACCCCCCTCCATCTTAATATTAGCCAATAACTTGCAATGCGTTCTGGTCAACATGCAGTAGTATTAAGGTACTTGAGGGATTTAATGATCCTCCTTTTTTTGCAACACATTATGGTCTTTGAAATTTGACGTTTATAAAAATATTCCAACTTCTTTTATGAAGCATTCCAGATAATGTTGTTCAGATGATCCTTAGAGGGAAGCTGTTTGTATTGCAAGAAGCTAGCCCCGCAGCAATTTCCCGAGGAAAACAGCACAAGAAATCAAGCGTGTTTGTCATGTTTAAATAGTACTGCCGTTTGCTACAAACCTTAATAATAAAAGGTGAAAAAAAAGTTTCTACTGCAAACTAGTATGGATGCCTCAAAGTACACCGCATTCACAGTTCAGCACAGGGGCGGACTGACCATTTGGAAACTCGGTCACTGCCCGTGGGCCTGGGGTCGGTAGGGGGCCCCATGAGATGCCCCTGGTACCTTTTTCATAAGCTTTTTTGAGTTTGGGCAAGGACACAGGGGCCCCATGATCCCCTATTGCCTGGGGGCCCCATGTTGTCAGTCCGCCCCTGGTTCAGCGTGGAGTAGCATACAGTATAAAGTGTAAGGCCTAGAGGTCCAGGTATATTGTTTTTCAGCCCATGTAAAACTCTTTGGTCACTGGTAGGTGGTATTCTCAGAATGCCTGATCACAGGCCAGGGATTCCCAGTTACACCCTACCATGTTTCTCTGCAATCTAGTTGTGCATACCTCTGATCGTACAAAATTAAATGGTTTACACACTTGAACAGTAGAAAAGCCAGCAGCTCGGCATAATCTTCCATAATATATGCTTTTATTGAGTCACGTGGTAAAACCAAGACTGTACAATAGATGTGTGTTTCAGCTTTCAGGCCTTAATTATAGCACTATGAAACGCGTAAACCCATTGTATAGTCTGGATTGTACCATCTGAGTCTGTAAAAACATGTATTATGGAAGATTACAGTTGTAGGCTTTTCTACTGTTGGAGAGTTGACATTTCATGGGTTAAGAGAAGCCCTAGCTTGAGCATCAGTGTCTCTCATCATAGAGCTTGCAGGATAAGCGTAGCCCTTTGCTCTGGATGTTCACACACTGGACCCTCTGCTTCCATTGCATTATCAAAGCAGTTTGTAGGCTGCACAGCACACAATGACTAGTGAGAGTCAATAGTTCCCACCAGAGGCAAATATCAAATTTAAATGAAGGTGTATTGGGTAGAGTTTCATATTGTAAAGTGTATATCTGGGCAAAATAAAAACAATACTCAGTATATCTCGCCAATGTATGCACATTTTCCCAGGTTTTACCCCTTTAACCACTTGCCTACTGGGCACTTATACCCCCTTCTTTACTAGGCCAATTTTCAGCTTTCAGCGCTGTCGCACTTTGATTGACAATTGCGCGGTCATGCAAGATTGTACCCATATGAAATTTTTATAATTTTTTTCTCACAAATAGAGCTTTATTTTAGTGGTATTTAATTGCCGCTGGGCGCTTTACTTTTTGCGCTATAAACAAAAAAAGTGGAAAAAATTAGAAAAGAAAAATTTTTTTCTAAAAGTTTCTATTATAAATTTTTTCAAACAGGTAATTTTTCTCCTTCACTGATGTGCGTTGATGAGGCAGAACTGATAGGCAGCACTGATAGGGGCACCGATAGGCAGCACTAATGAGGTGGCACGGATAGGCGGCACTGATAGGTGGCACTGATGATGGGTACTGATAGACAGCACTGATAGGTGGCACTGACTGGCATCACTACTGGGCACTGACTGGCGACACTGCTAGGCATTGACTGGCACAACTGCTGGGCACTGACTGGCACAACCGCTGGGCACTGACTGGTGGAACTGACTGGCAGCACTGCATTGATGGGCACAAGTGGGTGGCACTAGTGGGCACAGGTAGGTGGCACTGGTGGGCACAGGTAGATGGCTCTTCTGGGCACAGGTAAGTGGCACTGCTGGGTGGCACTGCTGGGCACAGGTGGGTGCACTGCTGGGCACAGGTTGGCGGAACTGGTGGATGGCACTGCTGGGCACCGATCATCAGGGCACTGATCATCAGTGCCCTGATGATCGGTGCCAATCCCTGCTCTGACAAGTGCCGGTTCTTGGCAGTACTTTCCTCACGCTATGACAACGTGAGAAAAGTGCAGCCGAGAACCGGCAATTGCATTTCCCAGTGATCAGCTGTGTCATTGGACACGGCTGATCACTTGGTAAAAGGCCGCTATGATTGGCCTTTTACCACATCACGTGATCAGCTGTGTCCGTAGGACACAGCGATCACGGAGATCGCCGAGGGCGCGAAGGAGAGCGCGTTCTGAGAGGACGTCATATGACGCCCTCCCAGAACTGGCCGGCCGCAGTGTAGCCGTCATTCGGCTATCTGCGGTTGCAAGTAGTTAAAATGCGATAGAAAAGTCCGCAAACGTGCAACTATAAACGTAAAAACCCGTAAGTGTTCACAAAAAATGTGTAAGTGCAAAACACCACACGAAAAAGTGCACTTAGGGGTGTGCTGTGTCCTACCCCTAAAGGGGCTTGGACCGCTTACCCTGATCCCCCGGGGCACGAAGCTCCTGACGGGGACAAGGTTACCAATTGGTCCTCCTGGCCAAAAGGCCTGGTGGACCACCGTTCCTTGTGTCCAGCCGAAGCCAGACACACAGTACTTGGTCAGGGGGCTCTCCCGAAGAAAAGCCCCCTAGGGATCAGGGGACAAAGGAACCAAAAGGCCACACATCCTCCCCCTAGACTTCAGGGTAGGCCCGAAGACCCACACCCTCCATCCGTGAAAACACACACATAAGCGAAAGAAAAAAGTGACAAACGTGGGAGGTGAAATAAATTAAATAAATAGAAAATAAAAAAGTGGTACCGTGCCAAATTGTGCACAGACCAGGCCCTGAGGCCCGTAGCAAAAATTGCCCTGGTCCTAGCCAAAAGGGCCTGGTCCTTAGGGCGCTGTGCAAAAAGAATGTAAAAACAGTGACCATGTGCCATGTTCACACAGTGGGGCCCCACACCCAGGTGTTACTAGTGGCACCCCTGAGAGCATCTACTCAGGGGGCACCGAGTTTGCAGACTTTCTGCCTCCTCAGCCCCTGGCCAGACCAAGGTAGATCCGTCCAAATCAGGAGGTACTGGGTCTTTCCAGTGTTCCCGGAGCAATTACTCGCAGGGCCCCAGAACGAATCATGGCGCTCCCCGGTTTCTGTCCCTCCGGTACTAGCCTTCCGGACCCCCATCATACCAGTGAGGGTACTATACAACAGCCATCCCCGCAAAGCTAGAATGGCCGGGAGCACCCCCACTGGACACTGATAAGAACAGATACTACACTTGATCTTAGCCAAAAGGCCGAGAAGCAGAAAAAAGACCTATTGATCTACCAGAAATTCACTGAGCTTCACACTTTCTGTAGTGCGCTGGCAAAACATGCTCCAGTTCTCGCTTGCTAGATTACTGAACACCTCTCAACTTATGGAGATGAGAAAAGAGACAAAACATGGAGAAAATGTGCATATATGGCAGATTTGTACATAACAGTAATATTTTTGTACTTGCTGTGAAATCCATTTCTTGGACTCCAAGAAATGGATTTTAAGGTAAGTATATAAATCCCATTTTCTTTCTTGTTCATTGAGATACACAAGAATTCAAATACAGTCAAGATATCCAAATACTGAGGGGTGAGCAACACATCAAAAAAAACAAAAAAAACATTAAGATGTCTCACTATGAGAACCAGCTGAAACCCAGTAGCCACCTGAAGAACCAACGCCTGAATCTGAATGGATGATATGGGACCCACTACCAAATAGGGAGACCTGCAAACAGAACAAAAGGGAGAACATTGAGGATCAACATGATGCTTCAGACTAGGATGGATGCCAGATGAGAATGACTCCATATAGAAGGGGTAAGCGAACCCGAGCAAGCAAGAAGCTGATCAACTAGATTCCACTAAAAACAGGCGGAACAATAACAAATTCCTAAAGTTGATGCGGTCAGAAGAAATCACTGGGGACAACCTCAGAAGGAACAGGTCTATGCAGCTAAGACAGGTCAACCTACGTTAGAAAGGTCTGACATCCTTAACTGTAGCCAGACAACCAATGGGGTACATCAGAAAATATACAGTATTAGTATTTCCAGTTGCCCACAAGTGCATGAAGTGACTCATGAGACCACTAGAGAACTCAAGGGTTTGGTCACACAAAGTCAACCTGACCTAAAGTAGAGGGTGCAAGGAAGACTGTGCCACAAGGGTAGAGAGGAATGAGGCTAGACCTTGTGAGCATGATTTAGCCTTGAGACGCTGGTACCTGTGGGAGCAGAAAAGACTTTGCCTGGCACTACCTTGGGCAACAATGCTTTCTCTATGATATCTTTAGTATGGGTAGCTGTGTGCACTATATAGAGATGTGTTCACAATGTTCATGCCCTGGCAAAAATTGGGAAAGTTTGGCATTTATATTGAAATTATGACTGATCATGTCAAAAACTGTCTTTTATTTGAGGATAGTGATCATATGAAGCCATTTATTATCACATAATGGTTTGGCTCCTTTTTAAAGCATAATAACAGAAATCACCCAAATGGCCCTGATCAGAATTTTACATACCCTGGAAAGTTTGGCCTTGGTACAGATACACAAGGCAACCCACACCGGTTATAACGGTAATTAACCACTTGTCCATCATGCTGGACACTTTCACCCCCTTCCTGTCCAGGCCAATTTTCAGCTTTCAGAGCTATCACACTTTGAATGACAATTGCGCGGTCATGCAACACTGTACCCATATGATTTTTTTAGCATTTTTTTGAGACAGATAAAGCTTTATTTTGGTGACATTTATTCACCACTGGAATTTTTATTTTTTTTGCTATGTAAATGAAAAAGTCCAAAAATTTTGAAAAAAAAGTGTTTTTCTTATAAAATTTTGCAAATAAATAATATTTCATCATACATCTTGGCCACAATTTATTCTGTTAGCTTTTTAGTAAAAAAAAAATAACCCAAATTAGTTTATACCCAAAAATTATAATTTTTAGACATTTTTTGTTACATTTTTATTTTATTTTTTTATATTATTATTTATGGTTTTGTTTTTTTTACATACTGTCACCGTAGCAGTACAGTGTCACCATGGTGACACTGTACTACTTGTGGGGGGTGATGAAGATTTTTTTTTCTTTTTTTTTTACACTGATTGCTTTTAAACCCATAAAGGCTGTAAAAGCAATCATTTCTCCTTCCCTCTGGCTGCATTCTTGCAGCTATTGAGAACTACTGTGGGAGCTGTGATTGGTCACAGCTTGTCACATGGAACAAGGCTGTTGTGAATAGCCTTGTACCATGTGACCTCTGTGATCATTCACAGTTTTCACACGTAGTAAGCAATGATGTCAGAAGGGACATCATTCCTTACTACTCTGCATGTGATCACTGATTGGTCAATCAGTGATCACATGATCGGGACCTCGCAGAGAGGTCCCGTCTGATGATCGGTGTTCCACTGTGTTCGGAGGACACAGAGGGCACCGGAGCGCGGTGCTGTGCGCTCCCATGGAGCATGTACAAGCAGGTGCGGGGAGGTTGTTTATAAACGGCCACCCGACCCTGCACTGCCACCGTCCGGCCGTTTATATACAACGGCTGGATGAGAGGTAGTTAAAGGTTAATTTCCCACAGCTGTGGCTTATGTTGCAATGAATGTGTGTATAAATAGTCAATGAGTCTGTTAGCTCTCAGATGGATGCATGGGGCAGGCTAGATACTGAGCCATGGGGAGCAAAAAAGACCTGCATAAACAAGGTCATGGAACTTTATACAGATGGAGAAGGATATAAAAAGGTTTCCAAAGCCTTGAATGTGCCAGTCAGTACTGTTTATTCACCTATTAAGAAGTAGAAAATTCTGGAATCTCCTGATAACAAGCCAAGGTCAGGTAGAATCAGAAAGATTGCAGCCTCAACTGCCAGAAGTATTGTTCGGGATACAAAGCAAAACCCACAGGTAACCTCAAGAGAAATGCAGGCTGCTCTGGATAAAGATGGCGTGGTTTACAACACGATGATACTGCGCCAATGCCACAAAAAAAAGCCCAATTACAATATACCCAACAACACCTTGCCACACCTCATCGGGCTTTTTGTGGCATTAGCACCGTAAAGGCTTCTTTCTGAAAACTCGACCGTCAAGCTCATTTTTGTTCAAGTATCGTCATATTGTGGGAAATTACCCTTTAAATTTCCATTTTAACCCATGTGTGTCACCTTGTGTGTCTGTACCAAGGCCAAACATTCCAGGGGAGGGAAAGTTTTGATCCGGGACATGTGGGTGATTTTTGTTTTTATGATTTAAAAAGGAGCCAGACCATTTTGTGATAATACATAGATCCCTGGGATCACTATCCTTAAACAAAAGACAGTTTTTTGGCATGATCAGTCATATTTTCAATATCGATGCTAAAATCTCATGATTTCTGCCAGGGTATGGAAACTTTTGAGCACAGCTGTATATGGTGAAGCCCATATATACTGTGCATATAGATCCCATATCCTGGTACCCTCTTGAAGAAGTCAGTCTTGTCTTTTGTAGAGTTGGGGAAGGTTAGAACCCATGAGATGGGAAGAGATTTTCCCTCATCCCTGTCTGGTGAAACCATTGTCAACGGGACAGGAAGTGAGGAAAAATCTAACAGTGCCCCAGATAGCAGTAGAAGCCCAACAGGAGCTCTAAATCTTCCACCTTTATTCAAAACTAGAAAGAAAACTTTTGGTTTGATGTACACCCTAATGATGCAGTGTGAATGACCACTCTGAGGCTTGTTTGACCTGCTTTACTTTGCATTTCATTGGACACAACAGAGCTTATTGAGCGCTTTTTACATTGCAGGCCCTGTGTCCATGCATTTATTTTTGTATTTTAGAGCAACATTTCTAAACACCATAAGCCTGTAAACGTGTGCAATTACACTCCAAAATGAGCAGCTCTTGGCAGAACGATTCAGTGGAGATAAAAAGTATTTTAATACACTCCTGTGCATGAAACCCGTTATCGCT